TTGCTGAAACCTGTTAATCTTCATTTATGCCAAAAAGTTCCAAATGAACTGGAATTAATTAGATATGATCACTTAAGCAACAAAATTTCCATTTAGTAATAATAGTAGTAAAGTTGGAAGGTCATCTAGTCCAACCCCCTGCTCAGGCAGGAAACCCTACACTATTTTGGACAAATGGCTGTCCATCTCTTCTTAAAAACTTCCAGTGTTGGAGCATTTACTGCTTCTGGAGGCAGGCTGTTCCACTGATTAATTGTTCTCACTTCAGGAAGTTTCTCCTTAGTTCTAGGTTGCTTCTCTCCTTGATTAATTTCCACCCGTTGCTTCTTGCCCTGCCTTCAGGTGCTTTGGAAAATAGCTTGATTCCCTCTTCTTTATGGCAGCCCCTGAGATATTGGAATACTGCTATCATGTCCCCCCTTGTCCTTCTCTTCGTTAAACTAGACATACCCAATTCTAGCAACCGTTCCTTATATGTTTTAGCCTCCAGTCCCCTAATCATCTTTGTTGCTCTTCTCTGTACTCTTTCTAGAGTCTCAACATCTTTTTTACATCGTGGTGACCAAAACTGAATGCAGTATTCCAAGTGTGGCCTTACCAAGGCATTGTAGAGTGGTATTAATACTTCACGTGATCTTGATTCTATCCTTTTGTTAATGCAGCCTAGCACTGTGTTGGCCTTTTTGGCAGCTGCATCACACTGCTGGCTCATATTTAGGTGATTGTCTACTAGGACTCCGAGGTCCCTCTCAAGTTACTACTATTGAGCATGGTGCCACCTATGCTGTACTTGTGCATTTGGTTTTTCTTGCCTAAATGTAGAACTTTGCTTTTTTCACCATTGAATTTCATTTTGTTAGTTAGTGCCCAGTGTTCAAGTCTGTCCAGATCCTTCTGTATCTTAAGCCTGTCTTCTGGAGTGTTGGCTATTCCTGCCAGCTTGGTGTCGTCTGTAAATTTGATGAATTCCCCATCTATCCCCTTGTCCAAATAGTTGATGAAGGTGTTGAAGAGCACTGGGCCCAGAACAGAGCCCTGGGGTACCCCACTACACACTTCCCTCTATATAGATGCAGTTCCATTGAGGACCACTCGCTGAGTACGGCCGGTCAGCCAGCTACGGATCCATCTGGTGGTGATTCTGTCTACCCCACATTTTTCTATCTTATCAAGTAGTAGATTGTGATCTGCTTTATCAAATGCCTTACTGAAGTCCAAGTAAATTATGTCCACAGCATTCCTCTGATCCACTAATTTTGTCACTTGGTCAAAGAATGCAATAAGATTTGATTGGCATGATCTATTTTTGACAAACCCATGTTGGCTTTTAGTAATGACTTTGTTTGCCTCTAGGTGTTCGTTGATTCGTTGTTTGATTATCTTTTCCAGGATCTTCCCAGGTATTGAGGTCAGGCTGATAGGTCTGTAATTTCCTGGATCCATTTTTTTTCCTTTTTTGAGGATGGGAACTACATCAGCTCTTTTCCAGTCCTCTGGTAGTTCCCCTGTGTTCCAGGATCTTTGAAAAATATAGTTCAGTGGTTCCAATATCACATCTGCCAGTTCCTTGAGAACCTTGGGGTGTAATCCATCTGGTCCTGGCGATTTGAACTCATCTAGGCTGGACAGGTGCTCACTTACCATTTTCTTGCCTATCTTAACTTGTGTTTCTATTTTGTTTTTTATGGCACTATTTTTGATAGGTTGGTCTGTTTTTTCCCTTTGTGTAAAGACAAATACAAAAAATGAGTTAAATAGTTCTGCTTTCTCCCTGTTGCTTGTCACCTTCTTGCCACTTCCACCCACTAGTGGACCAATCATTTCCTTCAATTTTTTCTTGTTTTTTACATGTTGAAAGAAGCTTTTTTGTTATTTTTGACTTTGGTCGCAAGCCTTAGTTCATTTTGAGCCTTGGCTTTCTTCACTTCATCTTTGCAGGCTCGGGCTATTTGCTGATATTCTGACTTAGTTATGTTCCCCTCTTTCCACTTTCTATACTTGTCCTTTTTATCTTTCAATTTGTCAGAGAGTTCTTTATGCAGCCATGCTGGTTTCTTTTGAGAGCTGTTGTTTTTCCTCTTTGTTGGTATTGTGCTAGACTGTACTTTTATTATCTCATTTTTCAAAATTTCCCAAGCTTCTTGAGTTGTTTTCCCCTTGAGGATTCTCATCCATTGAATCCTTCCCAAGCCCTCTCTAAGTTTATTGAAATTAGCTCTCTTGAAGTCCAAGACTCTAGTTTGGCTGTGTTCTATTGCTTGTGCTTCTATAATGTTGAATTCTAATATTGCATGATCACTTCCTCCCAGGGTTCCTATGGCTTCAACACCTTCTATCATTTCATCTCTGTTAGTGAGAATTAGATCCAAAATGGCTAATCCCCTAGTTCCCTTCTCTACTTTTTGGGAGACAAAGTTGTCTGCTAGGTTTGCCAGGAACCTGTTTGATCTTCTACTTGGTGCGGAGTTTGTCTCCCAGTTGATGTCAGGGTAGTTAAAGTCCCCCATTACTATTGTGATGTGCTTCCTATATACCTTAGTTAGCTGACTAGCAAAAAGTTCATCTATTTCCTCTGTTTGGTTGGGTGGTCTGTAGTATACACCTATGGCAATGTCATTCCCCCCCCCCTTTTATATTGACCCAAATACATTCAAGACAGTTTTTATCATTGTTGTGCTCTATTTCTGTAGAGATGTAGTTATTTCTTATATAGAGAGCAACTCCACCTCCTCTTTTATTTGGTCTGCTTCTTTTAAATAATTTAAATCCCTCTAGCTGTGTGTTCCATGTGTGGGTTTCATCCCACCATGTTTCCGTAATGGCAACAATATCGTATCTGCCCTCATTAACCTGAATTTCTAGTTCACCCTGTTTGCTGTTCATACTCTATGCATTGGTGTATAAACATTTGAGTCCTTTGTGAGTGGCCCTGTGTTTCCTTTCTACATAACCTGTGTGGTGCCTGAGTTCCCCTATTGTCTTACCACCTATTTGGTTAGTGCACTTTGTGTGGCACTCGCTATTAGAGGCTTCATTTTGCTTGATAGCAAGGTTGGTATTCTTGTCCACACACACATCTATGCTACATGCACTGATAGCCCTATAATTTTTAGATTGCCGGGGACAGGGTTGTTCCGTATCAATTAACTCCCTGTCCCCGCTGTTTAGTTTAAATTTCCCTCCAGAAAATCTGTGAATTTATAGCCGAGTAACTCAGTCCCTTTTTTTGATGGATGCAAACCATCTCTTTTGGACATCTTTTGATTGGACCAGCTACTGACATCGTGACTAATATATCCAAAGCCTTCCCCTTTACACCACTCCTTTAGCCACATATTGAATTGTGCTATGCGCTGGCCTTTTCCGTTTTGCTCCTTATACACTGGTAAAACCTCTGAGAAAGTAAGCCTACAGCCTATTCTGCTAAGTTCCTTCCCCAAGCTCTGGAAATCGTTCTGCACAGAGAGTACATCTTTTTGGGACAGATCGTTAGTGCCAAGATGTACAATAGCCTCCACATCACAGTCCTTGCTGCCATTCTTAATTATTTTAGAAATATGCTTCTTGTCCCTACTAGCAGTAGCACCTGGAAGACACCTGACCTCTTTCGAAGCCTCTGTGTCCTTTCCTAAATTTACATCCCTTATAATTGAATCACCAACCAGAAGGTAGCTTCTCTTTTTGGTTGCCTTTCTGTTCTTGCATGACTGATGTGCAATACCTGATTCACACTTCTCCCTGTCGAAATCTAGTTCTTCATCTTGGACCACAATCCCCTGCTTATTTGAGTTATCTTCACAAATACCTTTACCGGTCTCCTTAATATCCCTATTAAGGTCAGCAAGGGCACTGTAACTCTTGTGCAGGGACATAGCGAAAGCTTGGTGTTTATGGTTCACAGCTCTCACCCTGCCAGAACCCACGGTTGTCCACACTGCCCTTCTCCTGCAGGATCTTTGTGGTAAAGGGGGCTGATAGCACGGAGGCTTACTAGAGTAGAGGGGCTGAACTGGACGCCTAATTTCTGCCCGAAGAGCACGGATTACAGACCCTAGGTAAATGATCTGTCCTTGTAGGCTAGTGATTTGTTTACAGATAGGACAGTTTCCAAGTTTGAAAAGGGTACTGCGAAAGACAGCTGCAAAGCAAGTGTTGCACTGAACAACAAACAAAATATTCAGAAAACAAAATGTTCAGTATTTTTGCATATACTGAAACCAAATTTATGACTTAACGAGGCTAATTTCCTTCAGCATATAATAGACTAATTTGCCCTATACAGCAGGCTGTGAGAAGGTTTAACACATTTATATTTTTAAATCAGTTTTATATAATATAAACTTTAGATTGTGATGCATTGAAATAAGCTAAGTTTATAAATGGTTACCAGTGTGGATTCAGACAACATGATAAGTCATATTTAATCACACACAAAAGTGAATGCTTCTGAAGTCTTTCTTAAGCACATACTAGAGCAGATGAGACAAGGTTGAATTCAATAATGTATGATTTTTTGATATCTGAATTCAACTCTTATAAATAATATTTTCCTACTTTTTCCTCATTTATTGAATTTCCTATAAGCTTTAGGAGTTATGTATCTTGTGGTATCTCCTCAGAAGTAACAAATGGAATGTAATTTTGTAATAACAGTCTTAAAGGTACAACATATCTATTTCCTAGTTCAACCAATACATTGCCACCTCCCAATGAAATACATATATGAAGTACATGAAAGCCTGCTGATGACTTAATGAACTGATGTATGAAAAAGGACTTACCCACACATTCAGCATTTTCACATCTCCTTTATTACACAATTAAACCAAGAAATCTTTAACCACATTTTTTTTAAATTAGAGAAATATCTGGGCTGATTTCTGGACAAGATACAAAACATGGTTTATATAACATAAAATCAGCCCCCTTGAACTGGTCGCCATACAGCAAGTGTTATAGGATATTTTATTTGATACTGTATTCAACAAAATGGCTCTTACCATGGCCTTGGCCTAGACTGAAAGAAAGTTGGTGTAATTCTTTGGTTGGAGTAAGATACCCTTCTTTCCCGTGACGCTGGCTCATTTTTCCTGGAGTAGAAGTATGAGATTCATCACTGCTTGCTACTGCAGCTGTAAAATAAACATAAAAATGATGAGTGATATTTCACTGAATACAGTAGAAATTGTCTCCACCCTAAGGAATTTAAGTGCTAAAATGCAACACAGAAAAAGGAAGGAAATGAAAGCTGAAGTAAAAAGGCAAGTAATATGTGAATCCCTCAGATACATATTGTAAAACTGATTTGTAATAAGGCATATTGAGAAAAAAGTTTCACTGTAAACTATCAGTTTTAAAGATCATAGTTTAAGCAGGATTTGAGGATGTATAAGGGTGAATAAAGAAGTAGTAGACTGTTAAAATGGTGCTGGAGCTCCATCAGGAAATATGTAAATAGAAAGAAGGGAAAACATTGTTTTAGAAACCATAGGACATTGATTTATGTTCGACAATGGTAAAAAAAGTTACATAGAAATATTACCCACTGATATCCACTCAGAAAATTTAGAAAATTGAATGGTGGCATATCTGTGCTTTTGAATACTTAAAGTGAAAAAGTGAGATAATTTTAAATTATTTGATTGAAAAATGTTCAACATAAGGGTTACATGCTTTGTTTCTAAATTCAGCTCCTCTTCCTTCTTTTTAAATCAATGTTACAAAGGCCTGATTAACTGGACATGATATCTTTGGTCTAATATATCTGGAGGGCATGAAAGAAGCATGGGGTAACATGAATGAAGTAATTGCAAGGTGATTTCTTTTCATATTATAGTAGTAACTTTTCCTTGATCTGCAGGTCCAATTTAAATCATTACAAAAACATAGCATTTTAATATTGCTTCATATCATTATTTTCTGTTATCTTTAAAACTGAAGTTTCCTAAAACTGAATTTATGAAAATTATCAAACTGTATGTACATAATGTATAGTCAGCATGCATACTCAATAATCAACACCCCTCCCTTCTAATTACCAATTCCATACATAAAATTCCTTAAGCAATGTGTTTGAGATTCTAAACTAAAAAGCTATAAATTGTATAGATTTATCAATCCAAAATCTAATTCCCAAACACATATTTTTGAATTTTTTGAGATGTCAATCCTCTTTTTCTCTCAATACAACTGTTTGATAATTTTTCCTTCTTCTGATTTTACAGTCACAGTGCCCTCTAGAGACATTACAAAAAAATGTAAGTTTCCTAAATTCTCAATTACTAGATTGGGCTCCACAGATGGAAAATCTCACAGCTCTTGAAGCTGTCATGCCGAATATAATCCAGAAGCCCTATGTATAACAATAACTAACAAATTAAATACTAGAGTGGAAATAGTATTTTCAGAAAAAGCAACATGTTATCAGTTTATTTTGCATTGCCTTTCCTCTTTCTTTTCAATCTCATCCTCTCGTTGCAAAGTAGCGAAAGCAGAGTATGTATAATAATTTTGGGAGTCTATGAAACAAATTATTCCAGGGAGGCAATGATTAAAGAAAAGGACTAACCAGACCACATTATTCTTCATTCTTATATTGCTCTTTGTATTTCAGATATCAGAAAAATTACAAGTCTTGAAATGTCAACATTTGCACAAAACTAAAGTGTGTGTGATTTATAATATTTCTTTTTACAAATGGACAAAATAGTAGATACAGCTAAGAGTAATGCACAGTATGCTGGGAGGTAAGGCTCTGAAGTGAGTCAGTCAAGGAAGTCAGCTCTTTTAGAAATAGAAATTCCAAATCCAAAAACTCACAAGAAGGCAGTGATAAACTTATAGTCCTGTGAGGGAAATATATGGGCAAGGCTGAAGAATTTAGTCATGTTTGGGTGCCAGATGCCTCTCTACTGGGAAAGTACTTCCATGAATATACTTCTAGGTGATGCCATGATCAGAGTTCATGTAGTCTTCTACTTAAAACAGTTTAGTTAGTGACCATTCAAAGTTACAATGGCACTGAAAAAAGTGATTTATGACTGTTTTTCACATTTACAGCTGTTGCAGTATCTCCATGGTCGTGATCAAAATTCAGACACTTGACAATGGACTCATATTTATGATGATCACAGCATCCTGGGATCATGTGATCACCTTTTGTGACCTTCTGACAAGAGAAGTCAATGGGGAAGCCAGACTCATTTAACAACCGTGTCACTAACTTAATGACTGCAGTGATTCACTTAATAACAGTGGTAAGAAAGGTTGTAAAATGGGGCAAAATTCACTTAACAAATGTCTCAATAAAAGAAATGTTGGGCTCAACTGTGGTTGTAAGTTGAGCACAACCTGTACTATCAATGATGCTGCCAGGACTAAAGGAACTTTACATTTCATTTTACATATATACAGGTATGCATTTATATAGTATGCATTTGTTCATTATATTTCATTTTACAAAGATAAATATACAGGTAATCCTCAAGTAGATAATGTAATAGAACCTGCCAATTACATTCATAATCTGAGGATTCCCTCCCTGCTTTCCCCAACACATTCGTTAATTGAATGTACAGGTTGTTAAGTGAACAAGAGGTATCTTGGGTGGAAAAGAACATGGGCAGCCTAGTGCTGGAACAGGCCTCCTGCTTAGACACCCAAGACTTCCCCTGACTCACTGAAATACCCCACAATTGCTTCCCCCTTATCCTGCCCTGTCAGGTCCCCACAGGCACTGGGCATGTGGAGGCTCATTTACCTTGAGAACATCTCCAAGATCAAGTGAGTTGTCTCTTCTCCAACCTCTCTGTTGTGGTTTCTTTGCCTGCTCCTGGAGCTCCAATAGCAGAGTGATGAGACCAGAGGCAGAATGGGATGAGCATGCCCTGCTCAGCTTGGCTGACACACTGAGGCTACCTGCGCAGGACACAACATCTGTTTTGGAGCACCAGGCAGCCTCATTGAGTCTGAAGAAGTGTGACATTGCATCCCCTAAGGCTTCCAGTTTCCGTGCCAAAAGCCTTTGTCATGGAAAATGGAGGCATGCAGGGGAACTCTCTGTTGTCTGCTCCACAACCTTTTGCAAAGTAGATGGAAGATGTTGGGGACCCAATCTTGCGCTACGTCAGCCTTCATTCCTTTTGCAGAAGTTTTTGTTGCAGAGAATGGAGGCTTGACGTAGCGTGAGATCTTGGAAGCCTTCAGGAATGCAATCTTGTATTTCTTCAGATTTACCGAGGCTGCCCGGTACTCCAAAAGCAGATTGCATATTCTGTGTAGGCAGCCTTGGTAAAGTGAGGGAAAAACTATTTGATCCCCTGCTGATTTTGTACGTTTGCCCACTGACAAAGAAATGATCAGTCTATAATTTTAATGGTAGGTTTATTTTAACAGTGAGAGACAGAATAACAACAAAAAAAATCCAGAAAAATGCACTTCAAAAAAGTTATAAATTGATTTGCATTTTAATGAATGAAATAAGTATTTGATCTCTTCGCAAAACATGACTTAGTATATGATGGCAAAACCCTTGTTGGCAATTACAGAGGTCATATGTTACTTGTAGTTAGCCACCAGGTTTCTACACACATCTGGGGGGGGGGGGCGATTTTGTCTTACTCCTCTTTGCAGATCCTTTCCAAGTCATTAAGGTTTTGAGGCTGACATTTCACCTCTCTCCACAGATTTTCTATGGGATTAAGGTATGGAGATTGGCTAGGCCACTCCAGGACTTCAATGTGCTTCTTCTTGAGCCACTCTTTTGTTGCTTTGGCCATGTGTTTTGGGTCATTGCCATGCTGGAATACCCATCCATGATGCATTTTCAATGCTATGGCTGAAGAAAGGAGGTTCTCACCCAAGATTTGATGGTACATGGCTCCGTCTGTCATCCCTCTGATGCGGTGAAGTTGTCCTGTCCCCTTAACATAAAAACATCCCCAAAGCATAATGTTTCCACCTCCATGTTTGACGGTGGGGATGGTGTTCTTGGGGTCATAGGCAGCATTCCTCCTCCTCCTCCAAATACGACAAGTTGAGTTGATGCCAAAGAGCTCAATTTTGGTCTCATCTGACCACAACACTTTCACCCAGTTGTCCTCTGAATCATTCAGATGTTCATTGGCAAACTTCATACGGGCCTGTACATGTGTTTTCTTGAGCAGGGGGACCTTGTGGGTGCTGCAGGATTTCAGTTCTTCATGGCGTAATGTGTTACCAACTGTTTTGTTGGTGACTAAGGTCCAGCTGCCTTGAGATCATTGACAAGATCATCCTGTGTACTTCTGGGCTGATTCCTCACAGTTCTCATGATCATTGAAATTCCATGAAGTGAGAACTTGCATGGAGTCCCAGACCAAGGGAGATTGTCAGTTATTTTGTGTTTCTTCCATTTGCGAATAATCGCACCAACTGTTGTTACCTTCTCACCAAGCTGCTTGGCAATAGTCTTGTAGCCCATTCCAGCCTTATGTAGGTCTATAATCTTGTCCCTGACATTCTTGGACAGCTCTTTGGTCATGGTGGAGAGTTTGGAATCTGATTGATCGCTTCTATGGACAGATGTCTATACAGGTAACAAGCTGAGATTAGGAACATTTCCTTTAAGAGAGCGCTCCTAATCTCAGCTCGTTACCTGTATAAAAGACACCTGGGAGGCAGAAATCTTGCTGATTGATAGTGGATCAAATACTTAATTCACTCATTAAAATGCAAATCATTTTATAATTTTTTTGAAATGCATTTTTCTGGATGATTTTTGTTGTTATTCTGTCTCTCACTGTTAAAATAAATCTACCATTAAAATTATAGACTGATCATTTCTTTGTCAGTGGACAAATGTACAAAATCAGAGGAGATCAAATAATTTTTTCCCTCACTGTAAGTCAGCCAAGCTGAGCAGGGCGCGCTCATCCCATTCTGCTTCTGGTCTCATTACTCTGCTGATTGGAGCTCCAGAAGCAGACAAAGAAACTGCAGCAGAGAGGCAGGGGAGGAGACAGCTCACTTGATCATGGAGATCTTTGCAAGGTAAGTGAGTCTCCACAGGCCCAGTGCCTGTTAGGTCCCTATGTGGGATGTGTGTATAAATAGGCATGGGGAATGTTGCAGTGTCTCTGGGGTTGGTGATAAGGGTGAACTACTGCCGTGATGCTGCAACATTTGTAACTTTAGGATTCTGCCGTAAGTACTTTTAGGGGTGATGTCGTAACTTTGAATGGTCGCTAAGTGAACTGTTGTAACTCGAGGATTAATTGGAACCTTAAAATTAAATATGAATCAAGAAAACTTGAAACTATCAAGTAGAAATGAAGAACACTAACTGACATAGATTTTTGCTGAACATTAACTAATTCTAATGAGTATGACAGGATCATACCTGTTAGAATAATTTAAACAGTCAGCAAAAATCTATGGCAAACTGTAAGACAAGCAAACAAAATGGGAATAGAATGACTAACAAGTAATTGGAATGTTAAAGCTGAGAAATAGAAGAACCCTAAGTTACAGGAAGTGAATTAGGTAACTGCAATAATTTGGAGATACATATAAAAGAACTTTCTTTATGTATTATCTATTCATTTTCAAGCAATTTAAATGTAATCTCTATACCTGGACATCACTGGATGAGCAATGTGTCTGAACCAAACTACGGAAAACAGTTTAATTCAGTTCAATAGGATTTTCATTTTTAAAAGTAATTTTTTATGAAGCATTTTAACAATAACTAGACAACCCTACCCTGTTGGGTCATTGTTTCAGAGATATTTCCTTACCTAAACTGAGAAAGGGAATGAACGACAGTGGGTTAAAAAAAGCAGTGGGAGCAGGAGCCAGTTTCTTTTCTTGTGGGAATCTGGCAAGGAGCACTGGAAATCTCCCTTCCCTTCCTAGCAGATAACTTTATTTATTTTATTTATTTAGTGTATGACATCTATAGAAGTCATGCAATCACTGATATACAACACTAATAAAAACATTATATCTACAGACACAAGAATAGTTTTTTTAAAAGCACCAGCAAATATCTATATATTGTATACGTGTAAAGTATGTGGACAGTACAATATATGAGATAAAATATTAAATTAAGATAAAACCATAATAAAATCACTACAATATGGCACAATAGTGTCACAATAGGATAGATGTCATAATTCAATATTTAAGAATGTTAACCATCTAACTGTTTCTGGTGTGGCTGCAATAATATCATCCTAGATGTGATGTCAGTCCTTTATTACAAATCTGTTCAGGGTTTAACAGTTATGCTTACAGTTGCATAACAAAGCTGTGTTTGCAAGCACATTTTCTGAAAGTTGATAAAAACATTAACATTTGCTGTTTCTTTGGACATTCCATATGTGCTTGAAGAAAGCATATATTTGTCATAATAGACTTTACAATTATTGTTTATTATTACTAATTCTATTATCACTATTATTATTTCATCCTGCCTTTTATACAATTCAAGGCAGTATACTTAACATTCCCGTCTCCTATTTTATGCGTTTTCTTCCATTGTTTCTAAATTTACTAAATACTCAGAATTTACTAATAAAACAAAATGAAGGTATGGCCCTATGAAAGCATAGTTCTCTCAATGTTCCTGCAGAAACTATTTACTTACTTGAAGTTCCCTGACATTCTTTGATCTCACTATGATGCTGGAGGTACAGGGCAATTGAGTACGAAGAATGGCAAACAAAAGTATCCAGGCCAAAAGGAAAAGAGACGGAGGAGGAACACAGCAGATATAACAAAAAGAAAAGAACAAGGAAAATAGTTTAGTTTGAAACTAAAAATGTAACATGCATATCAAATTTGATAGTTTTTTTAAAAAATACTTAGTAGCTTCAAAATACAGAACTAATTTTTTTTTAAAAAAGCATAGGCAAGTATATTTAGCAAAGCAACAGTAATTATTAGCTTGTTATTGTAACAGTAAGGCTAATACTATCTGGAAAGTCATATTTTTCCTAAAGTTCTTTTAATTTATTCATCAATATTCCTGCTGCAAGTGTTACCTGGCAGAATAAATTAGAAGGGGCGTTGTCTTACCTGAAAGCCTTTTCTCAGCATGATGATGTAGCATCCACCGGTGGGTTATATCAGCCTTCCTGCTTAGTTGAGATTAAGTCAGAACTTTAGCCACGCCTCCCCTGGGCGGTGCCTTCCTAGTTTTGACGAGGCGAAGCATCCATGACGAAGTTTGATGCAATGGTCCTCCTACAACTACACCTGTCTAGACTGTCATTAAGGGTGGGTGTGGATGCTACATCATCATGCTGAGAAAAGGCGTTCAGGTAAGACAACGCCCCTTCTCCAGCATGATGAATGTAGCATCCACCGGTGAGATATACCAAAGCCCCCATGTCCCCAAGGGAGGGAAGTCTAGGCATGTGTCCCCTGTGAGGAAACAACCTGCTGCAAAACCCTTTTACCAAATGAGGCATCCGCCGCAGCGAACTTATCAAGTTTGTAATGCCTTATAAAGGAAGGAGAAGACCAGGTCGCTGCTCTACATATCTCAACAGAAGCCTGGGTAGACCAAGCCGCTGATGTGGCCACACTACGTGTAGAATGAACGGTAATGTTTGCAGGTACCGGGAGACACTGGGATCTATAGGTGTCAGTAATGCATGTCCTAATCCATCTTCCAATGGTTGAAGATGACACCTTCTTTCCCATGGAAGAGGGCTGGAAGGACACAAACAGGGCCTCCGACTTGCGAAAAGTAGCGGTCCTCTTAACATAATGGTGCAGAGCCCTGCGCATGTCCAATTTATGCCACAGCCTCTCCAGACGATGTGACGGATTGGGACAAAAGTCTGGAAGAACCAAATCTTGGGATCTATGGAACCAGGTATTGACTTTCGGAATGAAAAAAGGGTCCAATCTAAGGACCACTCTGTCATCCAGAAATATACACAGGTTGCTTCTGACCGAGAGCGCAGCCAGTTCTGAAATACGTCTTGCCAATGTGATGACTACCAGAAAGGCAACCTTCAAAGAAAGGAAGCGAAGTGAGCAAGACCGGATGGGTTAGAACGGTGACGTCATGAGGGGCTGTAACACCTTAGGTAAGTCCCAAGAGGGATAGCGATGCACCGAGGGAGGCTTAGCGTTAGCCGGCCCTTTTAGAAAGGCGCCAACTGCAGGGTGCTATGATAATGGGACTGAATTGTCGCACGTGATGACTGTTGATAAGGCCGCAACCTGTCTGCAGATGATACTATGCGATAGACCCTTATTCAGGCCCTCCAAGAGGTAATCTAATATGTAAGGAATGTTGACCGCCAATAGTCTAAGGTTCTGTTTGGTGCACCACATGCAGAAGTTCCTCCACGTGGCATCATAAATCCTATTGGTCGAGGGTCGCCTTGAGGCTTGGATTATTGAGATCACCCGACGAATAGGACTGCCTGGCTAAACTCTCCCGTTCAAGTGCCAAGCGGCTAGTTGAAGCCACTGGGGGTCTGGGTGTTGAAGTCTCCCCTGATTGAGATGCGACCCAGCGGAATCCTCCACGGTGGGGAGAGTTACAAATCCACGAGGTCGGCAAACCACGGTCGCCATGGCCAGTGTGGGACAACTAAGATTACTTCCTCCCGTTCTTGAAGAAGCTTGCGGATGGTCGCAGGGGGAGAGGAGGAAATGCATAAAGGAGCCCCCTGGGCCACTTGCTGCAGAGGGCATCCGTTCCCTCCGCCCCCGGTGAGGGGAACCTTGTGAAGTACCTAAGTAGTTGGGAATTTGCCGGGGAGGCAAACAGATCCACTTGTGGTTGTCTGAATCTGACCAAGATTTCCCTGAACAGGGCCGGGTCCAGACGCCACTCCGAGTGGTCGACCGTGACCCTGCTCAGTGAGTCGGCTTGACAATTCGCTTCCCCAGATATGTGCTCTGCACTGATAGATTCCAGGTTGGACTCTGCCCACAGACCCAGGTCCAAGGCCTCCAGCATGAGAGAACACGACCGGGTTCCTCCTTGTCTGTTGACATGGGTCTTGGCTGCTACGTTGTCCGTCAGTATTAGGACGTGCTTTCCCGCCACAAGGGTGGAGAATTGATGGAGTGCTAGATGGATTGCTCTGCGTTCTAGCCATTTTATGTTGTGCGATAAATCTGACTGGGACCATTGACCCTGTGCCATGTGAGTCTGTAGGTGGGCGCCCCAGCCGAACAGGCTGGCGTCTGTAGTCAAGGTGAGCCTGGGAGGCTCCTTGAATAGGGATCCCCTGTTCATTGCTGATGACGTCCACCACAATGGACAACAGTGTGTGATGTGGACTCTCACCTTCCTTGTGGAAGCACTCATGTTCCGTTTCTGGAAGGGAAGGAGGAACCACTGGAGAGTTCTGGAATGTAGTCTGGCCCACGGAACGATTCCCAGACAGGAGACCATCTTCCCCAACAGCTGAGACAGCTGGACCAGTGGAACCACCTTCTCTCTCCGGATCTGGTGGACAAGTGACCTGATACTGTTTTTGCGCTCCTGGGAGAGGTAAACCTTGCAAAGATTCGAGTCTATTATTGCTCCTAGGTGAAGGAGGCGAGTTAAAGGAGTTGTGTGACTCTTCTTGAAATTCACGGAAAATCCGTGCTCCTGAAGAGTATTGATTGTGAGTTGAAGGTCTGATTGGGCGGAACTGAAAGAACTGGATTGGATAATTATATCGTCCAGGTAACATTGTACGCACACCAGAATTAATCTGAGATGGGCTGCCAAAACTGCCAATATCTATGTGAATACCCAAGGAGCCGAGGAAAGCCCGAAGGGTAGAGCTTTGTACTGATAATGCCGGTGCGTGTAACAAAACCGGGGGAATCTGCGGTGTTGTGGGAGGATGGGAATGTGGAGGTACGCCTCTGTCAGGTCTATGGAGGAGAGTAAATCCCCTTTTCTGATACTGGCCAGAATGGATTTGAGGGACTGCATCTTGAGCCTCCTATAGGTTAGGAAGTAATTGAGTCCCTTTAAATCCAATATGGCCCTCCAACCTCCCGAGGCTTGGGAACCACAAACAAAATGGAGTAAAAACCCCGTCCTCTCTGTTCCAGAGGTACTGGTTCTATAGCCTCTTTCTCTAACAGATGGGCTATGGCCGTGGATACCAATTTGGCCTTGTTCGTGTTTCTTGAGGTGGGACACTGAATAAAGCGGTCTGGAGGGATGGATATAAATTCCAGGGCGAGACCGTATCTTATGGTCTTCCTTACCCCAGAGTTGGTGGTGGTGACCTCCCAAATGTCACTGAACAGCGCTAAGCGACCACCTATAGGAGGGTCCCCCTTGGCGTCACTTGGGCCGCATGTAAGGATGGCCCCCAGACCCTCGAAAGGGACGCCTGGACTGGAATTGACCCCTGGTTCCAGGATTTTGGCGGTCCTGCTGTCGATCCTGTCTGGGGGAAAAGGATCGAGAACCTCTGGGCCATTACCAGGACTGCCAGGCCCGAAAGGGCTGCCTCCACTCCCAGGAACCTCCTGCACGAAAGGACTGCCTGCGGAATTCCTGCTGGGGCCTTTTATCTGACCTCTTAGAGGGGTGCGCAAGAACTTTGCGCTTGTCCTTCCCCTCTATAAGGTATGGTTCTAGAACAGGACTGAACAGCTTTGTACCGCTGTACATGTCTGTTAATAGGCGCCACTTGGAATTCCACTAAGTCTGCCTTCCACTGTTTCAACCACAGCAATCTGCAAGATGAGACAGTGGCCGCAATAGATCTGGCTGAGTACCTGGCAGAGTGGAGAGATGCATCTGCCATATATTCTGATGCAAGAAGTAATTTTCCCAACATCTGGTGTGCAAGCACCTGGTCAGGAGAAATCAGGGCCTGCATTTCGCGAAGCCACATAATGGATGCCCTTGCGAAAAAGGACGAAGACGTTGCCACCTTGATCGCCCATGCTGCGGAGAGAAAATTCAAACATCTGGTTCTCCGCCTTCAAGGCTTCAGCCATATCCCCCAGAATTGTGGATGTGGAGAACAATGAAGTAAGAGGAGTATCTATAGTAGGTACCTCTAGAAGGGAAGCAAGTGAAGAGGAAACATTAAAGGGTTTCTTTTCCGTATTATTGGGAGAAGGCAGAGTGGCCAATGAGGACCACTATTTCTCCACAGTGGTGCGGAAGACACTTGGGCAAGGAATTTGTTTCTCTTCCACTACTTGCTCTGCAAACAAGGGATTAGACTCTTGTGCAGTGGAGGTAGATGGTTTAGGTTCCGGTTCAGCAGCCAATTTGGCCATAGTATAGGCCTTCATAAGCAATGACCTGAACAGGGAAGGATTGAAAAGACCCAATGTCGGGGCCGGATCCGGCGCCGCCTCCTCATCCTCTGACATAGGCATGTCTCCAAGTCCACGGACTCATCTTCCCCTTACTGAGAGGATGTCTCAGAATCACCAGGGCCAGTTAACAGGTCACACCCTGTTTGAGGTAAAGGTATGGGCGGAGGTGGTGGTACCTGTGGGGACCTTTGACCCATGGATGAGGCCATGAACTGCCCAAAGGTATGATGCATGAACGCCTGGAACTGCTCTGACCATATGTCCGCTTGGTCTGTATAACAAACTCCAGCTGCAGAGTATATGTGGCTTCAGGGGCTTGTTGTGCGATGGAAGAAGAAGGAAGAGGAGGAGGAAGAGGAGGAGGAGGGGGACCAACCTGTTCAGTTTCCCCAAGGAGACCATACCCTAGGGGCAATTGAGGCTCGAATGGGGATGGATCCAGTGAGATGGGGGGAACCACTTCAGCCTCACTGGACATGAGCCTTTGAGCTCTGGAGAACTCCTTCTCCAGCGCCTGATGTCTCCTCGAGGCCTCTCGCTCAGCTGCTTTGGAGGGTCCCTGATGGATATATTCTTTGTCTTGGCCTTTCCCCCCCCCCCTCGCTTCCAAATCAGAAGATCTGCACTTTTTTGTATGGGGGAAACGTCAGAGCCCTGCGATGTCTGAGGAGTTGCACTGTCTGCCATCGCACACTGGATATTCCGGGTAGGAGATGTCCAGGAAGGGGGGAAAATAACACGCAGACCTGGTTATCAGAGAGAGAGGTTCCCGCGGTCTGATCAACTGCGATGACAAACAGCCAGACAGTTCGCTAGAACTGCCTGTCTAGGCCCTGCTGGCACAGTGCCGCGAACTAATAAGAACAGGTGGATTCTAAATTAATTCCCCCTCAGACAATATAGAAAGAATAGGATTAGTAATGTATAAGTGTGATCACTTAGTGAAATCCAAAATGGCGGCCGCACCCCCCTTCATCTGCTATTTCCCTGAATAGGAGAGGAAAGAACAAAGGAGTGCTAGAAATCCCCCTTGAAAGCCCGGCACAGCAGGCCAAATTCAGCTGGGATCAGGCTGAAGGTACTACTATGGCACACGAGGACCTTCAAAATGGCGACCACGCCTGTTGATGCAATTCAAAATGGCGGCCGTGAGCCTTGTCTCCCAAAATGGCGACGCCCCAGGGAGAACAACACCAATCTGTACAGACCGTCCGGACTGAGAAAGGTGTGAGGGAATTTAATTCGCTAATGCCTTTTCTCCCCTTTTTTGCTACAAAGCCCAGACAACTTGCGTTTAAGTTGCGTAGCCTCCACTGCGATCCGGATCACTGTGCACGCTGGCCGAGACCTCATGGCCACGAGGTTGGAAAAATGAGGCTGCCTGATCGAGCCGCGCTCCCGGGAATCTCCGATGAATGAAAAGCCTCCATTTTCAGTGCTAAACAGCTGATTCGGGGCTAAATCCCTCGGCGATCCGGTGCGGCTTGAAATGCAGTCCGCAAGCCCTGTAAGGCCCTTGGGACTCAGAAGACACCCAAGTTGCCCTTGGATTCCTTAAATTACACCAAGTTTAAATCTGATAATTTAGAAGAAACTAAAGTCTATCATCTAAATCCAATTTACATACAATAAACCTGAAGTATATCAATTTTAACTAGTCTAACTGAGGAGCCAAACAAATTGCGTCCTACTGAGCTGAGACTAAGTCAAAAACTGGGAAGGCACCACCCACGGGAGGTGTGGCTAAAGTTCTGACTTAGTCTCAACTGAACAGGAAGGCTGATATAACCCACCAGTGGATGCTACATTCATCATGCTGGAGAAATGAAGCATGGCTATACTTATTTTTAGAAATCTGAAAGAAAGGAGCGTTGGCTTACCTGAACGCCTGTTCTCAGCATGATGATGAAGAATCCACCAATGGGTTATTTCAGTCCTCCTGCCCAATCAGACCAAGTTGTCAAGTTGTCACGCCTCATTATCTGGGACCTCCCAGTTTTCATCGACGGTGTAGCCAATGACAACAGTTCGACGTGATGACTCTCAAGCAGGTATTAAAAGAAACTAACATAACAAGTATCCTACCCGGATCTGACTGACACCTAATAGGGGAGGGCGTGGATTCTTCATCATCATGCTGAGAACAGGCGTTCAGGTAAGCCAATGCTCCTTCTCCAGCATGATGACTGAAGAATCCACCAATGGGATGTACCAAAGCATCCGGACTCCCTAAGAGTGGGAATCAGTTGGGGCCGGACCCCCAGACTTGTTGTAAAATACGCCTACCAAAAGCGGCCTCAGTCGACACAAATTTGTCTAAATGGTAATGTCTAATGAAAGGTGATGGCGAAGACCATGTTGCTGCCCTGCAAATGTCCTCACTGCATGCCTGGGTTGCCCACGCCGCAGTTGTGGCAGCACTGCGGGTGGAGTGAGCCATCACATGAGGAGGAACAGGCAAGGCAAGTGAGATATAGGCATTTGCAATACAGGTCCTGATTCACCTACCTATGGTGGAAGCTGACACCTTTTGACCCATTGAAGAAGGCTGAAAGGACACAAACAGGGCTTCAGACTTACGGAAAGGCGTTGTGCGCTTGATATAACGTCGTATGGCTCTCCTTACATCAAGAGTGTGCCAATGCCGTTCAAACTCATGTGATGGGTGAGGGCAGAAATTTGGAAGGATGACCTCCTGTGCTCTATGGAAAACCGTATTAACCTTTGGGATGAATGGTCTAGCCTGAGAACCACTCTGTCCTCATGAAACGTGCACAGATCCTCCCTAACCGACAAGGTAGCTAATTCTGAAACGCGCCTAGCCAAGATGATAGCAATCAGGAAGGAGACCTTGAGTGACAAGTGTCGCAACGAGCACATTTTGAGTGGTTCAAAGGGAGATGAGGTTAGTGCCTGAAGAACTCGAGGTAAGTCCCAGGAGGGATACCTATGAATCACAGGCGGTCTACTATTTGTGACTCCCTTAAGGAAGGCCCGAATGGTAGAATGACTTGATAAAGACTCTGAGGAATCCCATGAGAGTACCGAGAAAAGTGTGGCTAACTGTCTGCATATAGTGTTGGGTGCCAGCCCTTTGTTGACGCCCTCCATTAAATATTCTAGTACCCTGGAAATAGTCACCTGTGATAGACTTACATGATTCTTGTCGCACCAGTGACAGAGTCTTCCACACATGGTCATAAATACGGTTCGTTGTCAGCCTCCTGGCCACCTGGATCATAGCGATCATCTCCTCCGAATAAGACTCCCTAATCAAGGTGCGGCGTTCAAGTGCTAGGTGGTCAATTGAAGCCATTGGGGGTCTAGATGCTGTCGGGAATCCTCCACGAGGCTGAGTATGAAAGACTCACTGCCTCCTGGGCCAGTAAGGAACGATGAAGACCACTTCCACCTGCTCCTCCAGAATCTTCCTGATTACTGCTGGAAGCAGAGGCAATGGAGGAAAGGTATACAACAGACCTTGTGGCCACTTGCTGCGCAGCGCATCTGTCCCCTCTGCTCCCCAGGAGGGGAACCGAGAAAAGAATCTGGGCAGCTGAGCGTTCCCCAGGGAGGCAAACAGGTCCACGATCAGACGACCAAATCTGTCCGATATCTCCCTGAAGATAACTGGATGTAACATCAACTCTGAATGATCCACTATCAACCTGCTAAGAAAGTCTGCCTGTCGATTTGCCTCTCCCGAGATATGCTCGGCCCTGATGGAGAGCAGGTGTTTCTCTGCCCATGACCTCAATGCTCAAGCCTCCATTATGAGGGATTTGGACCGGGTGCCCCCTTGCCGATTCACGTGAGCTTTTGCAGCCACGTTGTCTGTTCAGACCAGTACATGCTGGTCCGACTACAGTGTGAATTTTTGGACAGCTAGATGTATTGCCCTGAGCTCTAACCAGTTTATACTGTGTTTGAGGTCTGTTTGTGACCAACGACCCTGAGCTATCTGGGATTGGAGATGTGCCCCCCAACCAAAGAGACTTGTGTCCGTGGTCACCTGAACTCGATTGGGCTTCTTGAACAGGGTCCCCTTGTGAATAGCCGATGAAGTCCACCAGCCGAGTGAGAGACGTACCTGATGAGGAACCCTGACCAACCGATTGGATGTACTGGTATGCTGTCTCTGATATGGAAGCAGGAACCACTGCAGGTCCCGGGCATGTAGCCAGGCCCACGGCATTATTGCTATGCATGATATTAGCTTGCCCAGGAGTTGTGAAAGCGTAGCCAATGACACAGCCCTGTCTCTGCTCACCCTGCGTGCCAGGTCTCTGATGCTCCTGTGCCTCTCCTCTGACAAGTACATGAGGCACAAGTCTGTATCTATCGCCGCTCCCAGATGAAGCAGTTGGGTAGAGTCATCTGGCTCTTTTGGAAATTTATCAGGAAGCCGTGGTTCTACAGGGTCTTTATGGTGAAGGCCAAATCTGACTGGGCAGCTGAGACTGACAGGGACTGGATCAGGATGTCGTCCAGATAACACTGGACCCATACTGGGACCAGCCTTAAGTGAGCTGCCAATACTGCCAGGATTTTGGTAAAGACCCTGGGGGCTGAGGAGAGGCTGAACGGAAGGATTCTATATTGAAAGTGTCGGTTGACGTAACAGAATCGCAGGTACCTGCGATGATCCGGGAGGATAGGAATGTGTAGGTATGCCTCCTTTAGATCTATTGAGGTCAATAGATCTCCCCGTCTGATGCTGGTTAAAATGGAATGTAATGTTTGCATTTTGAACCTCTTGTATTGAAGGTGGAGGTTCAGTCCTTTGAGATCGAGAATTGCCCTCCATCCCCCAGAGGATTTTGGGACTACAAACAGGATGGAGTAATACCCCAGCCCCGCCTGGTTCGGGGGAACCTCCTCTATTGCCTTGATGGTGAGTAGGTGTTGGATAGCGTCTTCCATGAGCCCCTTTTTATAGGGTTTCTCATGGCTGGGCAAGACACAAAGTGATCTAATGGCATGGATTTGAACTCCAGGGACAGGCCTTCTCTGATAGTGCGCAGAACCCAGGAGTCTGTGGTCGTGTTTTCCTATTGGTGTATGAAGAGAGTGAGTCTGCCGCCAATGAGAGGGGTTGCCTCTGAGTCATTTTCCGCAACGGAAGGGGCGACCCCCTCTGCCACGAAAGGAATGTTTAGTTTGTGGCTGGTACCTGGTTCTGTCCCTATAACCTGCCCTATCAAATGAGCGCTCAGGCTTAGGAGCTGATGGTTGCGCAGACTCTGTTGCGGCCCCAGTCCGAAAGGACTGTCGACGATTGTAAGGGAGGAGCCATCTGGTAGTTCTCCTTGCTACATGAGAAATGACTTTTTGTTTGTGTTTATTCTCAATGATATGGCGTTAGGGCCTCCCCAAATAATCTGCCGCCCATGAAGGGGGCTGTGGTCGTGCACCACTTATGTTTGCTTTCGGCTCTCCAGTTTTTTAGCCACAGAAGCCTCCTAGCGACTACGCTGGAAGCCATTGCTCGGGCTGAATGTTTGGCTGAATACAGGGAGACATCCGCCATATACTCGGATGTGGCTAATAATTTGGTCAAATCCTGATGGATCCTGGTTTCTTCCAGTGGAATTCTTTCCTGTAACTGACGAAGCCAAGTAATAGAGATCCTTGCAAAGAAGGAAGTGGCTGTTGCTGCCTTAGATGCCCAGGCAGATGCCAAATGTGCCTTGCGCAAGGCCATTTCGGATTTTTTATCTTCTGCCTTAAGGGCTTCCGATACATCTGCCGGGAGACTGGCAGTTGAAAATAGTGGGGCCAGAGATTCATCTATCTTTGGAACCTCTAAGAGATCTGCTAAAGTCTTTGTCATGTCTACTATTTTGCGCTCAGTCGCACCTTGAGTCGGCTGAGCAGCAGGTGACTCCCACTGTCCCTGAATATTTTTGAGGAATAACAGGGGACAGGGAATTTGGAGGTGTTTGTCTACTGGTTCAGCAAACAGGGGATGAGTTTCCTGATCAGAGGAAGGTTGAGGGGTTGGGACCTGGTGGGAGGAAAGCTTACTTGCTTCACAGGCTCTGCACAGCAAGGCAGGAAAAAGCGAAGCATTGAACAGCTCTGACATAGGCTGAGATTCATAAGTGGGTTCCTCACAATCCGACCAACCTTCCTTACCTCCCTCATAATCTGAAACATTAGAGTCGGAATCAGGAGAATGGGATGGGGAGAACATACCTGACCGATCCAGTGAAGGACGTGTGGCAGTTGTTGGTGCAGAAGGCGGCCCCGGAATGGGAGACGTCTGCTGGTGACCCGCTGATGCCATGGCTTGGAACACAGCCTGTGATATCCACTCTTGGAGCTGGCCGGAGAAAGACTGCTCTAGCGGAGGCCTTAACCCCGCAGCAGGTGGTGCGATAGCAGCGGTGTGTGCTGCCGATGGGCCGGGCAAATTAAGATCCTCCCCAAATACAGGTGGTCCTACCTGACCAAAGGTCTGAGTCAGGACCTGCTGATGCACACTCTCAGGCGACCAAGCTCTCGAAGTGGACGGTTGAGGCGCTCCCGTGTCAGGTGGTGGGGGGCTCAAAACTTCAAGACTTCTTTCAGCAGACAAGCACTGGGCCCGGGAGAATTGCTTCTCCAGGGTTCTGTGTGTACGGTCGGCCTGCCTGTCGCTTGCTGTGCCAGCCCTCCTGCCATGCTTAGATTTGGTTTTGGCCTTACCTGAAGATGCCTCTGGTGCCAGCTCAGCTTGGACGGGGGTGATGTCCATGTCCAAAGGATGTGGCTCAGTGTTTTTTGCCATTTCAATCGAGATGCAACCCAAAGGTGACTTTGGGACTGACTCAGTCTGCAAGGGACGTCAGAGACCCCCGTGAAGGGGGACTGACTTCACGTGGATTGTTCTGAGTCGGCTCACTGGCTAACCTGAACTCACGCTTGGCGCAGAAGCGCCCGTCACTCTGCAATGATTGGTGAAATCACACGTGTCCTACAATAGTGGCGATGGTCAGGATCGTGAAGCAGCCACTAGATGCAGAAGGGCAGACAGGCAATATGGCGATCAGGCCTGAAGGACCGGTGCCGCTGCTGAATCCACAGTCTTGTGATAACAGATGTCTTTAATAGGGAGGTAGTTTCTGAAACACTAAGGCTCAAAATGAAATTAATACAAATGATGTCAATGTATGAAAGTTCTATGAACTATGCTAAACAAGCCCTTTTTTTGCACACAAAATGGCGTCCTAGCCTGGGTGTGAAATGGTCACTGCCCAGAGGAAATATGTCCCCAAAATGGCAGATGTTCTAGGTTTCGTGAGGGAGAATGGGAGGGGGAAGGGAACGGGAAGAGGAGACTAAGCTGAGCCTCCAATACAGTCCAAAGTAGCTAAAATCAAATGGGGCTAAATTCGAGGCTTTCTACCTATTCAGGGAACTGAGTTGGAAATCGCACCTAACAGCTGTTAGGCGCGAAAATGCTCACTGCCGCACCGCGAGGCTCCCTCCTCTTCAGCGGCAGTCACAAGCAAATAAGAAAGTCAGCAAAAGGGATTTCCCCCGTCGCTCGCTCTAGCAAGCCCCTCAGAGATGTTGCAGCAAATCAAAATTTTGTCAAAAAGGTGTTCCGCGGATCCAAAATGGCGGCCGCTATAAGGATCCCTGACCGAGCCCGGTCATAGAAGAAGCCATGAGGCTTTAAAATGGCAGCCACCAGACAAAAGAACAGCATGCGTGCTTACTGGAAAGGTAAACAAGCAATCCCCCTATAACCTGCACCAAGGAAAACTCTCCCCACTTCTTTTAGTAAGAATTCTTGTAATGATTCAGCAAACTGCTGGATTCGGAAAAGGGAAAGAGCCACCCCCCCCCCAGTCCTTGAGAGGAGTCCTACCCTATCGCTGAAGGGAAGGAAACTAGTTCAGAAGTTCCAGAAAGGAAAATAATCTCTACTAATTCTCCTAATCTTAAGAATCCACCAATGAATCTGCAAAATCTAGTCTGACCTGCTCCAAATGACAGAGAGTCAAGATATCACGTCCTCATGGGCGAAAGACCAAGATGAAAACTGGGAGGTCCCAGATAATGAGGAGGCGTGACAACTCGACAACTTGGTCTGATTGGGCAGGAGGACTGAAATAACCCATTGGTGGATTCTTTAGTCATCATGCTGGAGAAATACTTCATCAAGAGATGTAGTTAAAACAGTGGTTCTCAACCTTTTTAATGCCGCGACCCCCAACCGGTCATAAGTCGAGGACTACTCAACCGGTTGTAAGTCGAGGACTACTCAACTGGTGCAGCACCGTTTGCAGAATGGGACTTCTGGCGGGCTCAGCAGGGCAGAGACAGCCTGGACAATTCCTATTGGCTTTTGAAAGCCAATAGAATTAGACTCTATTCAAGAGAGTCTATTCTATTGGCTTTCAAAAGCCAATAGAATAAAAGGGAGTAGCACAGCTAAGGAAAAGGGGAAAAAAATGGCGGACTCCGTTGTTTGGCGACCCCCGTGAAATGGTCATTCGACCCCAAATGGGGTCCCGACCCACAGGTTGAGAACCACTGAGTTAAAAGTACATCCAATATATATTAAAGGTGAATGAATGAATGAATGAAAACAAGCACTCTGCCTTCAGTTTAACAATAACCAACTCACTGTTGCTACTTGTATGTATTTTTCTGTTGCACCAAATTCAGCAAGTGAAGATGGAAATATTATAGATTGAATAATTAAACTGGAAGCAAGACAGAGACCGCTAAATGGAAGCAAAACACAAGTCACTAAACAGAAATCTTTCAATTATGCAAACCCTACAATCCTATGTATAGAGAAATAGACACTTTTCATTTAACACCAAACACAAAATACAAACCTCCAAAACTTGAGAAGGAATTTTCTTGTGAATTTCCAATATATGTTGAGTGGGTAGTCAAAGGGTAAAGAAAGAGAAACTGATAACTGAGGGAAAAGATAACCAACCTTGTTAAATTTCAAGTAACTCATTTTAAGTATTCCATAAAGAGAAAATAGGATTTGGCAACACGTTCCATAAATGCAAACAGGGCTAGCTAGAGATTGGATAAAATGAGGCAGCTACCTTAGGCAGTTAATGCTGAGAAGTATGAAGATGTATGTGCCACATGGTTCATTTGTACTCCAAGTTATCCTGCCCTTCACGTGCCTTGGAGAATATTGTCAATAGTGAATTAAGATTCTATTGCTAATATATTCAATTTTAAACATGAAATTGGGAGATTGAAGTACAGTACGGAGGGCATAGAATTTAGAATAGAGATGGCTGGCTGGTGTTGTGATTCTGTGCCAGCCTGTGCTCACAACAGCTGAGTCTGAGGAGGAGGCCATCAGGGGCGGAGAGAGGCTCTGATGAATTACAGGACTCACAGTTTGATGCAGAGCCTGGGCCCTCCAGTCGTGTTTCTGATGAAGCTCAGATGTGTGAGGAGAATGAGTCAGACTCAGAAGAATCACATCTGATGGACTTGCTAATTGATGCATGCTCCTGTCGTCAATTAGCAAGAGTAAATCAGCAGCAGTCAATGCAACTACTCCAGGGAAAAAGGAGAAGGCACTGAGAGGCAACGCCTTGGGACTGCTGTATAAAGAGAGGAGGTGTGGGCAGTGCTGGTTGCTGAAGGCAACCGTTTGCAAAGTGCTTCTTGGAATCCTGGTCTGTTCGTCTTGCTTGTGACTTCTCTGTTCGTCTTGCTTGTGATTTCTCATCTGTTTGCATCGTGTTTCTTTTGGACTTCCTTTTGCTGTTTGTGTTTTGGACCTTTTTACAGGTTTGTCAACCATATTAAAAGAGTTTTGTTTTGTTGCAAAGTTTCCAGCCTATTGCATCAGCAGGGGTTTGGTCCTTGTGCCTTTAACAAGGACGGCAATAGGCTGGGATAGAACAGTTGGCTGGCTGAATATATGGTTGGATAGATGGTTGCCAAGATGCAAAAACAGTTATGGAGTATAGTGAACTAGTAGGCTAAGGTGGTGAACTAAAGTTAGATTACAGGTAATCCTTGCTTAATGATCAGTTATTTTATGAATGGGTTCATTTAACGACTACCATATTCACTTAACAACTATTAAAAGGCCAGAAAATTACTTTCAGTCACGTGAGTGTTTTGGCCACAATGACTTACAACCAGAATTCAGAGCTAAAGTACAGTGGTAAGAAGGACAAGGAGCAGAAATAGGAAACACAGCTAACTGTACTGAATTTTTTAACAGCTTATGTTTCAGTGATGTTGAAAACATATAATGGAGAGTTAAACATAACCTGAATTTTCTATACTGTATGTTCAAGTTCTGAATATGTTAGCCTTGTGTTTTTTACTCTGTTCAATGGTTTTCATTACTTGCAGATCCTTTGCATTTTCAACTATTAGAGTAGAGCACAGTTTGCTGAAGTTCCTTCCTCTAGTTTTAAAACAATGCTCACTTTCTTTCAGCTTCCCTAAATACATAGTCATGTGAAAAAGAAAATACACCCTCTTTGAATGCTATAGTTTGTTTATCAGGAGATAGTAAGAATCATCTGGCCCTTAGCAGTTCTTAAAAGTAGGTAAATATAACCTTAGATGAACAACACATGACATATTACACCAATCACCATGTCATCATTTATTTTACAAAAAGAAAACCAAAATGGAACAGCATTTTTTTCACAGGACTGTATATTCAGCATAAATAAATAAGTAAATAAATAATAAATAATCTACAAGTGCCTTCAAATATATATTTTAGCCTAACAGATCTCTTAGTTACAGCTAATTTTATAAGCTCCACTGACTGAGATTCCACATAAGAAATGCTCTATCTGTCAACCTTCTCTATATTTTAAATATCACTGTCATTGTTTAAGGAAAAGTAAATAAAACTTTTCACTAAACTTTTTCCCAACAATTTCCATTCCTATCCATCTTATAAATCTCCCATAAAAATTCTGACTATTGAAATTGCCATTGTGGATTCCCTTCATATTTAGTAGTAGATGGTATCAAGAAATAAATATTATTTATAAATATTGAAGATATTTGACTTATTCAAGGGTCCAATTAAAATATACTCAAATTTTAGATTTAAGATTTTTTTAAAAGAAATTCTGCCAGTTTGCATTCTAAGTACATGGTTTGAAATTTCTTGAGTCAAATCTCAAGTGACACTATTTGTTAGAAACTTTTATCCTCACTGACAAAGCTATGATTTATCAGCTGCCATGCCATCCTATATATATATATATATATATATACACACACACACACACACACACACACACACACACACACACACACACATACACACACACACACACACCTGTGGAACTTCCTATAGTTCATAATCAGATTTAATCTAGTCTAAACTACTAAAACACATTCTACACAACACAGTACTCGAAGACAGATCAGGAGATGCTAATCTTAAGAGAGATAGGTAGTTAGAGCATATAATAGTGATCCAATTCCAGGTACAATAGATACTAGTATACCTTATAAATGAAGTTTTAAAAGCCTGACTATTTGAAGGATCCCTCTTCCCTGAATGAATTACCTGATCTCAGGATCAGCCATAGAAGTTGTGTCTATCCACCCTTAAAATTTGTTTGGACCTTTGTGAAATTGTCTCATTGATATGAAATACCTTATCATAGTAAATATATCTGATTTAAAGGAAATATTAAAGCCTTCAACTTTAGTTTCAAATAAATAGTTGCTATGCTCATCAACAATTTTCCATCTATTATAGTGAGATGTTAAACGGAGTGCAAAATGGGGCACTATGGACTCTTGCATTCTTCAATATAGCTTACTAATGATCAAAAAGGTGAAGAAAATGCTTAACAAATCTGCAGGACACAAAAACTAATAGCTCAGAGCAGGGGTCCCCAATTCCTGGGCTGCAGCCCACTACCGGGCCGTGGCGTATTTGGAACCGGGCAATATGACCGGCGGGTTGGCGTGCATGCATGCGCCAGTTGAGCTGACTATGCACTGGACTGTCACTTGTGCAGCTTGCTTCTCCTCATCCAGGCACCAAACTGCAAAGATTGAGGACCACTGGCCTATTCAGAACTGGGCAGCATGAGCAGTGGGATGGCGTGCATGCACATCTGCACGAAGCTAAACTTATGCAGATCAAGCTGCGTACATGCGCGCCAGCCTGATTGGGCAGCCTATTTCCCTCTCCCCCCAAGCCAGGCCAAGCCACAAAGTTTGGGGATCACTAGCGTAGAGAACACACGAATAAAATTCAAGATGATCTTAATTAGTTAGAAAAATGACCTTTAAAAAACAGTAAATGAAATTTAACAAAGATGAATGTAAAATTCTTTATAATTTTATAAATGCAATCCACCAATAAAATGTTTTATGTCCCTGATGGTCACTACCTGCCAATATGTGGGCTGCCACATTTTGCACAAAATGTAGTCTTCCAGGGGTCTTTACAGTAGTAGACATTGCGATAGTGATGCAAGCACATCACCTGCAAGGTGATAAAAGCACAATGTTTGCAGGTTTATTCTGCTTACATAGGGTCGCTATTGGCATACTAGCCGAAGCTGGGCAAAAGATCTCCTATTCATGGCTTATACGTAGCCATATAACAGTAATTGTGAATACAGGAGAACCTCTTATTTGCAGACACAGCAATGGATCCAGCTGAGAATCACAATGAACAAATGGAAATTCCATTTAAAATGGGTTCAACTTCAGTCGGTTTATTCAATGAACACATTCATAGCCTCCAGATTGATTTGCCAAATATTATTATAATAATTCTATTTGGAATTCATGGAGAATTCTTTTACAACTAATAGTTCCTTTGCTAGGAGCTCTCCAAAAAGAGTTTTTGGAATTAAGTTGAGTTCATTGCCAAAAATAAATCCAGTAACATTTGAGAAGATCCAGTTAACTACTTTCCCCCTCCAGTTGTATAAAATCAAAAGCCTTTATTATGACCTTTAGTTCAGAAAGCACTATAATAAAAATACAGATCTATAATAAGTTAAAAAATGTGATAAAAATTATGATTTATAGATATAAACAATATTATAAATACAGGTAATCCTTGAGTTACAAATGTAATGGAGCCTGTCAATGTTCTGTCCCAGCCT